GGCGGGGCTGAAGATGGGGAAAGAGTGGTAGCAAGGCATGAGGAAAGTGGATTGCAAGCACCACAGTAAGAAATACCAAAGAAATGGCATACTTAGTGAGGGACCGAGTGAAAGCCATGGAACAGGGGAACAAAAAGGAACACAAAAGTAACTAGGTAGCAAACACAGTGGGAGCCAGAAACAGATGAAACCAACAGCAGCTGACCACAATCACCCTGATTTTCCTGGAGTCACTTTATGGACAAAAGCATGAGATGGTGATTTCCTTCAGGCCCGGAGATGAAAGATGATTCTGGGGGACAGAGCACGAAGAGTGAGATAGATCTGCTTTTCTGTGCTGTTCTCACAGCCATGCAACAGAGAATTTGCTCATAGCAATGCCAGAAGGTTTGGACTGAGGATCTGCAATGTTACAGAGCCAACAGTGTTCAGAATTTCAGGGAAGGTTCTGGGTGTCAAATGCCTGATTTTGGTGGGAAAGAACCTGACTGCTTCAGCTAGAAGAAAGAAAAAAAACAGGCTTAAAATCAAAGGATCCTCTGTGGTGCTTCCAGAGGTCCAACAGCAGTTTAGTACTGAATTAGAATTTATAAGAAGCAAGTAGCAAATTGTGCAAACTCTAGGTTTATGCCCTATTCGATGTGAAACGAATTTCAGGGGAGAAAAGAATATTTTACCAAAACACCCCCAAACTTCAAACAATAGCATCACCAAAGAACAAACACCAATATATTTGTGTGTCCAGGAAAATGACTCCTGAAGTCTTTTCATAATTACTTCTAGCTTTGTGTTTATCATGGAGACATATGCATATGCCCGTGAATTGTTTAACTGTATAAATATCCTTTTTTCCTGTATAACAGATGCAAAAAGGGAATAGGAATGTTTTATAACTTAGGCTTTTAAATAGTAAATAAGTGGCTTACCTTCTCAGTTTGAGATGTCTTGATTTTTGCATACTGCATAATACTGAAGTATAAAAATAACTTTTTAGAAGTAATTACTTTTCCCTTTTTAAAAGGAACATAAACCCTCAAGAATATGATAAAACATCACAGTCGGTTTCAAATACTTTGCATCTTAATATGGTTGAAGTTAAGGCAGTAAGTAATTTCTGAGTTTTTCCCTTGAGCTGCGTAGTTCTTTTCATATGTAATTATTCTCTGAGTGCATTAGATAATGCTATGGTTCCCACAGCTGTATACACATCTATAAATCATTAATGAGGCAGTTAACTGAAACAAAACTATAAAAGATTTGCATTACCCGGCAGAACCCAGCCTTAATTGACTTCCAGTTATTTACAATTAATTTTTCCATTTGGAATAATGATTGCAAGCAACTCACGGGTTTTTATTGCTCAGGAATTAGATGCTGACTATTCATCAAAAGTTTTTACAGCAAGACCCTGTCAGTGGACAGTAACAAGCTTGAGGCAATCTTATTTTTACACACTCATATGCCCATACACCCCCCCATTGGCAGTGGAGACAGGTGGGAGGGGGCACATGTAGCGAAATGGGGCCAGGAGTCAGTGGTAACTTTTCTGTTTATCACACGCCTGAGTTTAACAACAATTAATTTCCTTTATAGTATCTAGCTGAAAGGCAACACAGTGAATAAAGCTGGCTACAGTTAGAGGTAGAATAAACTGCATGCATGAAGAGTGAGTAAACATTTACTTCTCTCTATCTTACAAGACTGTAAGATAGAAACCAGAATAAATGATGCAAAGGCTGCCAAGTAAATATTAATCCATTATGCTATTTAAAAAATTACTTTTATAGAAATATAGAGTGCAAAGTTAATCCTCATTAACTTGTGTTTGAGTGGGGCACGGAACTCCAGGCTGTGTGTCAGTCTGGACATGCACAGCTAAAAGATCTGCTCTCTCTGCCATATAAGCATAACTCTCATTGACATTAATGGGCTGAGGATGTGTTCATCAGGAAGGGATGGCATGTTCAAATTCCTGATAAAACTTAAGTCGAAAATAACCAGAGCCCATTTGCAGCAGCTGATGTTATCTTCATTATCTTTCCATCTTCAGTTTTCAAAATTCCTAAGCAGACAGATCCCAGCAAGTGACTCCTGATCAGTTCTCTATTTCTAAATCACAGCTATAAAACAAGTAAAATCTTATGTATTAGGGTGCACTATACTGGAACCACTACCACTGAAAATCAATCCTTCCGTGAGACTGAGCAAATGATACCTTTAATTATTTCCTCTTGCTATCATTAGTGGATGCAAGCGACATCAAATAAACATTTAGTTATGTTTCTTTCTCCCACCCCCCAGATACAGCTGTCATGCTATTTTTGTCTTGTTTCAAAGTAAATCATTTTGTCGTCCTTTGACTTCCATTTAAGGCTGTCTCTTTCTCTGAGCGAGGAACTGGAAGTAAAACCAGTGTTGTGAACAGAGAAAGGGCATCTGCAATGAGCATTAGGAGCTTTGATTTCTTTGTAAGTTGTGTAGACCAAAAGATATACCCTGGTAAACATGGGAGAGTTTAATTCAGACCAATGGTAAAGCTAACGGCTACTTCCTTCACCTTATCAATAGGTGCCAGCGAAAGGCTACTATAATTGATCTAGAAAATATGGGCCCCATGACAATCCAAAACTTGTAACCTTGAAAATCTTGCAATCTAGTGCTGAAGTAATTTTTTTCCCAGGTTATGTTCCGCTGGATTGTGTTACAATGTGCAATGTAAAGTAACGTGACAAGACTAGACATGGGTCATTCAGTCTGTCAGTAATTCAGAGCCTGGCAAATTGGTCCTCTCTCTTCACCAGTCCATGAACTTCACAGATATTTAACTTATTCATGCTACACTAGCCACCACATTATTTTAGCTGGAAAAGCTACTGTGATGTGTGAAATCTGAGAGGCTTTTCTTTTTGAAATGGGGCTGGTACCAGATGAGCAAACAGTATTGTTATTTTCATTAAGATATCACGTCCTGTCAACACGTAACATTGGCAGTTGCATTTCAAATAATTGCAGGCTCGACAAATTGTATAGCATAAATTTGACTATCTTTTTACTGTGTTCGTGACCCTCCTTATTTGGCTTGATTTCCTGGGGCGGGGGGAAGGAAGGGGTGTAGGGTCTTTTATTCTCTCTGTAAACTCAGAGCTCTGATAACTCTTTATGCAACGGTGATATTGCTGACATTGATTTTCCTTTTTTTTTTCCACTGAGTGAAACTATTTTAATAATGCTAAACCTGCGAAGTCCAGCACATTCCTGGAAGTATTAAAGTGATCAATCCCTTCTTTCTTATATGGATTCTGAACAGAGTTCTGTTACTGCCTATCTTCAAAACAGTGAAAAAGAAAGGCCATGGCTTTGGAGTTTCTGGAGGGTTTGCTTTGAAGAAACCAAAAATAATTTCAGTGAAAACAGAACTTTCATTTGGTGAAAATTTCTGTTTATTTGAAAAACTGTTAACTATCAAAAAATACACAATTTACTTACCAGCTCTGTTATAAATCAGGAGTCTCAGTGCTGCAGTGTTTCTCATCACAATAGCAGACGTCTGTGACTCCTTGCGGTATTATGAGCGTGGCCTGGTTTTGATTTGGTTTCAGAGCCAGCGCCTGTGAATCAGGACTGTGAATTCAACACAACTGCTTTTTGCTTTTCTCTTTCCCTCCCTTCCCCCCCCCCCCCCCCTTTTTTTTCCAAGCTGGTATGAGCTGAACATAACACATATTAGAACAAATAAAGAATTACAATCAGGGTGTGAGGAATTAATTTTTCCTTTGGAATGGAATCTCGGTATTAAACTACCAGGAAAAAGCCATGAAAGGAATCAGTGTTTTTTCCACTGCTTTGCACATTGTAGAGTCATTTCAACATTGTAATATAGGTGTCAAATACTAATAAATCAGCTGCCAAACGCTATCAGATACTTACTTTGTGCAGGTGTAAATGCTCACATAAAATGCAAAGCGCTGATCCGACACCAGAGATCTCCAAGAACCATTTCTGTCTTCACCAGTTTTATAGAACTGTTTAAAAAAAAAAAGATCCAATAGGGGTTTTATTCCTTGTTACCCGTGTTACCAGCTGCTTCTGTGCTTTCCTACTTTTTGGGATGTGGTTGCCCTCTACCCCCTAACCCTCTCACTTGACATCAAGGGAGAGAATGCAACAATTTCTATGGAATTGCTTTGAACTGGTCTACAAAGAAAAATTTTGTTTCAAAATAATGTTATGAATGATAAATCATTTCTTCTGCTAAAACATCTCTGTAAGTGCCCCAGCATCATCAACTGATGGCAGCACAGCTCTGGGAATAAACATATTTTCTGCTAATGGCAAAAATCAGCAGGGGAAGCATGAAGCAGGTATTTCTTCCTGATCCAGAGTGAAACATACGATTAAAGTTAAATGCCAAATCCTAGTGGCACTGGGGCAAATTAAAGTTTATTTTTCATTCCTGTTTATTCTGTCTTCTCTTTTTAGCTAATTCATCTTGTTTCGTTTAATACCAATGGTTTTTCCTTTCTGTTTGGCCACTTTGGTGGAAGGGGGAACAATTCGGTTTAGGCATGTGGCGTTTTGGTAATAAGATTAAAGCTTCAGGCAAGGCCCAGATCCCAAAACAAGAACTATGCAGGCCCTTCGTGAGTGTATTCAGCACTCCAAAGACAGGGTCAATGTACTGTGACCCCAACCACTTCTTTGCCTCTCCAGCAGCACAGCCCCTGGCACCGTCCAACGGCGTCTGTAGCGTGGTGCCACGCATGCATGCACGTGCTGTTGTGACACTCGACCACTCAATGCATGATGTTTATGTAAGGCTGTGCACTGTGAAAGCACTCTTAATCCCATTGATAGAAGATGTATTGCATTGCAGTGTTTGTTGTGAAGGAACTGTGATGCAAACTTTATTATGACAAAATCATGCTTTTGCCTAACAATTCAAAAAGATTTTCTATCTGTTGTCTTATTTCAGACTCGCTGGTACTGTAAGTACAATCTGCCTCACTGTTGGCTGACGGAAGCACACAATGATTAATTAGTGATGGGCCAATTCTGTATCATTGAATATGGACTTGCCACTTCCCTGGATGTTTCATCTCCTTCATTCCTTTGACCAGCCAAAATTTATTCCAGCATACTGGGCACTTGCTGTGTTACCAGGAGCAGCAGGTAAGCATGGCCTAACCTGTCTGAAATTGTTGGTTTTAAAGATAATGACCTTATTAAACACAGAGGCTGTCCCAGCCACGTTGACACAGAGCTAGGTTGTCTTACAGGTAACATCCGCAGTTAGCTGGGCAGATACACTACCCACAGAATTCATATCAAGAAGTGAGGGCCGCTTTGAGAGAGCACAAAGGTGAGCAATTACAGCAAAACCTTCCCACTGAATTGGCTCATTTAAATTGATTTGATATACAAATGTAAAACTGTATTCGTAACAGCTCAAAATGCATCATTATAAAAATGCCTTTTCCTCCTCTTCCATTCCAGCCTCCAGTCATCAAAGACACCCTTATTTGTAGACAGAACTAAAGTAAAAATTATTAATAGGGATTTTACAAATGCCTAAACAATTGCAGTGTGTCTAACAAATGATGGTGCCTGGCTTTAAAAAACCCATCTGTAAATCCCTTTCCCTCTCCATTGCTCCTCACTCCAGCAAGGCACAGCAGCGCAGGCAGGATGTAGTGGGAAAGCAGGAAGGCTTTCTACCGGTATTACTGCCAGAGGTAACAGATCCTCAGCCCAGGGCCAGCGAGGCAGGGAATTATAATGTCTGTAGCTTAGGGCCAAGTCCATGCACATGTGCACACGCACATGGGCACAGGAGCCCTTGTGGAGCTCAGCTGAGGCCATGAAGGCAATTTGTAACAATTCGAGTTAGCCCACATAGTGTTATGTTACCAAAAATATCCTGTAAATAAATACATTAATGGGCCACTTACTTGTAGCTAGCAATTACTTAAACCTGTCTTCAGCTTTTAATGCACAGCCATGCATTTCCAAAGGAGAGTGTTCTTGCTGTGTATTACTATAGATCCAGATTTTAAATTGAGATTGGTCACTATTGATTCTGTTAGTTTATGATGATACCGGTCTGCATTATACAAGATTCATAAAATTGCTGGAATATCCTCCATTAACTCACCTGCATTTAGCCAAGATCACCTTGTGTCCAGCTAACGCCAACTTCACTGGCATAATACCATTTCAGCAGCAATTCACAAACAAGGAGATGCTTTGTAGGAAACCGGAGCCACCCCAGAGGCAACTGCAGAGGGGCAGTGGGTGCTGCATCCCGGCACCCCAGCCTTCAAACACCTGTCCCCACCTGAGTGTCATGCAGCCTGTGCACTGCACTGGAACGGGTTTGCAGCATCCATCTGCTCTGCCACTTCTAGGAGGTGCTGAGGGCACAGGCACAGCCCAAGTCCTGCTCTTCTCAGGCTTCTTTATCTGGAAAAAAACCAACCCCAAAACCAACCACTCAGAGGTGATGTCCCTCTGGGGCTACCAGCTCACCATTGCCTGTGTCTGGGTACTGGACCACCAGGCAGGAATGAGATCATGGGGTTACGCAGCTTTCTGAAAGCAACGCACACTGCCCTACGCTGGGCATGGAACCACAGAGGACAGGGAAGGTTGGTTACATTCCAGCTCCTTACAGCTTACTTTTACCTATGAAAGACAATTAATTCTTCCTTTAGTCTTGTCTTCTCTGAGTGAACAATCCCCTCTTTTTCACCTTTGAATAACAAGATCAGCAGAGACCTAGAAAATATGACATCAAAGCAATTTCCTTGTTTTCTTACCCTTTGTGCTCAATTGCAGTGCCTGGAACCAGACAAAGTCTACACTGAGGCTTTTTACTCTGTATGGAGATAAAAAAAACCATGTCCTGCCAGCCCTAACCCCCACCTGGCTGCGTGTTGGGTGGGCAGGGGACGTGCTCTGAGGCAGAGCACAGCAGTTTGTGACTGCTGTTCAGTCTGTGCCCATGGGCTGGACACTCACCAGCCAGAAACAGCTATGGAAAAGTTTTGGGTCATGGTAACTCACCACCAGGTCCCTATGCAGAATGGCATCATTTGGAAAATTTTTAAGATGATAGGAAATAAAATAAAATAATAATACACACACACACACACATCCCCTCCCCCCCATCCACATTTTTACATGAACTGTTAAATTGCAATTGGCCAAACTTGTTGCTTGTTCTGGCTGGAATACGTTTCTCCATCATGAAGTGTTAGTTACAAGTGCACTCAGCGTGAGCTGACACACAAAACCCCCAGTGTCTTGGTTTGTCAATATTCATCAGGAGCTCCCTAGTAAGGACTCAGCAGCAGATTCAGTCTCTGAAGTTTATCAGTTTCCTAAATCTCATTTGCCAGGACTTTGACATTTCAAACTATTCTGGGAAGGGCAAATTAGAAATCAATGAAGTGCTCATCAACACGGTATCAATGCAGCCTCTAGGAAATGTACATCAGCCACTGAGGGAAAAAAATGCTAAAATAGCCTTTATGGAGACTAAAGAGAAAGACAAAACTGCAACAGAGTGAACCATTTAGTTACTGTGAGTCTTTCAGCGTGCACAACCCTGGGTAACTCACCAAAGAGCTCTCTTCAAAATCTGAATTCACAGGAGCAGTAGCAGAGTTGGGTCAGTCAGAAATGCTGTGGTATCCCAAGGACAGTTTCAAGTCCTCTTTAAAAACAAGATTTAGGAATATTATATATATATTATGTATCTATTATATTCAATATGGTCCAGCCTTCATTTCAGAGAATCTGATGGAATAGCAACTGAAATTAATAAATAGCCTAAGGTAGAATTTAAGTTCAGATGCTGCAGTGGGTCACATGCACATCAGATTTTATTAAGAGTGCAGGAGGACTCACACACCTAAAGCTGTTTCTTTGTGTCATTCCATTTTTGATTTTTGATCAATGGCAGTGTGACTAATGCAGTTATTAGAATGCTTACTATAAAAATTATATGGAATAAACCATGCTTGTATATTGGAAGACTATTCTGATAATGAATTTGATCACCTGTTAAACTGAGGCCAACATGTTTTCTGAAACTGACTTCTGGTTAAGCTAAAAGATTTAAGAATGAAAAATCAGATGATTCCATTCTGCCATATTACACAGAATAGCTTAAAGCTACTTTAATGTCTGCAAAAGTCCATTAACCAGAAAAAAAAATCTAGTGATAAAAGAACTTACTTTTGAATGCTGTACATATAGACATAGATGTAGTATACATCATCATAGGAAATACATTTCCCATAGACCTATTCAAAGGAGGGTTTTCTTGTTTAAGTGACAGTGATTTAATTCAGGGTGTGTGTAACCATAATGCACATGTGAGCCTGAGTTGGCAGGTAAATAAGCACTGTGCTGCTGACCCCTGAACGGCAGCAGGAAGGGAACAGGCGATCACTGAGCTTCACTTGACTCAGACCAGGTTTCAGTCATGGACTGTGAGAAAGGAATCTTTCAGCTGCAAAGTTCAGAATTTGGAACATAAAAGAATTAGGAAAATGTTTCATACCAACCCACCCTCTTTATTAATTTCTTCAAGTATTTTTAATAGTGCAAAATACTGGTTTGCAGCAGTACAGCAACTATGGGAATTCACAGGAAAAAAAAAATCTTAGAAGATTTCCAAAGTCAAACAAAAAAAATTTTAATACTGTATTTTTAGCAAGAACATTTTTAACAAAGAATGTGTACTTTAACTTAATATGGTACAACAGAGAAACCATACTTAAAAGTTTCCATTATCTAACACTCTACTGCATATTCATTTTTCCATCTTAAAAGACCAAAAGCCAAGCTGAACTGAGCATAAAAAAAAGCATCAATTATAATCCTCATATTACGTCAGCTGTTAGGGTTTAGCTCACACTTCTGAATTGGTCATCTAATGAAAGGACAATTTTTACATCATTCTTTTAAAAAATGTACACACATTTCTTTTTAAAACGTAATATATATCGAGTATCTGCTTCAGTAAACAAAGCTTAATTTATAAACACAATCGAAACAGCTCCATGTTGAACAGTTTCAGTGATAAACTGGACTTGTATGATGTACAGCCAGTGAGGACCTTTGTGGCTTAAAATCATTGTGCCATCGCTATACAGTAATAGCTACCTCCTTAGAGAAAAAAAAAAGTTCTTTTTTTTGGGGGAAAGGGGGAATAATTCCTGTATGTGCTTAAAAATACTAAAACTCCTTTCTAGCTCCGGGGACCTAAAAATGATCTGTTGCAACAGGCTTGGTTTGGTATGGTAAGCTTGTAAAAAGTCTCAGTATTTCTAACACGGCAGTTTTTGATGCAGCAACAGTAAATTGCTTGAAATTGTCCTTCAAGTTTCATGCTACAAATCCTGTTCTTCACACAGTACTGAAGGCATCAAAGGTTGCGAAGGGACGTTTTTCATCAACTATACAGTCTTCAAATAGTGGTCATTACACATTTTTCAACAATAGGTGTTTCCTTCAGTACATAATAGTAGGTTTGATGTATGTTCTGTTTTCTGGAGGGGAAAAAAAAAAAAAGAAGAAAAAAGGTCAATTACAAAGTGATGCTTTTATAATTAACTGAAGCTCAGGTGGGTTTCTCATTTGTTTGTGGGCTTCTATTCCCTGAAGCCAAATTATCAGATCTGCAAGTGGTAGAAAGCAGCCACCATGGAAAGAGACGCAGCAGCTGAGAAGAGCTCAGCCGAGCCCTTGGGAGGTGTGTCCACAGAGAAAGGAGTAGGGCCCAGTCCTCCTGACCAAGGGGTGTAGGTTGGGACACTCAGCTGGGCTGAACACCCACCAGCTTCGTTTCTAGTAACGTAATACTAGTCTAGAACTAAGTACTAGTGTGGAACTAGTCTAGTACTAGTTCTAGTCTAGTAGTTTCTTGCCCGGCAGCGTCTGTGGAGGTGATGCTGTAAATACTCCGAGTTGGATTTTCTTCCTTTATGGCACTTGCATTTTAATAGAATACTCATTTTCCTCCCTTTTTTCCGGGAGGCAGCCGGTGTTGTACTACATGCCTCCATAAGAGAGTGAATAACATGCCATCAGCTTTACAACATGACATTAGTATATGCACAAAACCTTCTAGGGAGCAGTGTGTTAAACCAAAATTGCATTGCATTAAAAAATGTAATAGAAGGAAATCAATATCTTTCTTTTCTTGTAAAACTGTTCTTTCATTCAGAAACCATCACATTGCTTTTAAAATTATTTTTCCTTATTTAGGGAATCGGTAGAAAGCCATTTATTTCCTTCATAAAGATATTTCTAGTTATAGTACCTATCAACTGTGATTTTTCACATTAAGCAACCTTAAGCCCAGAAAAAAAATACATATTGAAATGCCTACAGAAACTAAAGCTAACAAAAATCCATATACTTGTTCATTATACAATGAATCATGAATCCACCCAGCTACACCCGCAAGTACTGATCTTGAAGATGATAGCAAAATGATAATATTGAGAAGCATTTTGTATAATGTTGACATCTCTCCCATTACTGTTTTACATATGCCAATACTGAACACTCATAAGGAAAGAACAAGTATTGACCTGCTAACTGACACTGATCCTTGGAGCAATCTCAAAGTTTGCCACATTTCAATTTCAAAATGCATTTCAGCTATAATATGAGTGATTTATCATTTAGCAGTAGCTGTCAAAGTAACCTCCTAGATAAAACAAAAACATCTGGAACCATAAACAGAGGAGAGCAGTAGCTGAATTTTAATCCAAATCTGACATGTTCACTTCATTAGGAACAGGAAACAGCTAATTAGTAATTGAATGTTTCATGGTTTTAAGGAGGCTCAGACTTTCCAAACAGAGATGATTTAATATGTATTTCAGATGTAAACAAGAATAAAGATCGGAAGAGCCAGGGCCATAACATCTCCAGAGGAACAGTTGGGAGCATGGGAACCTCCGAAGGAGGGACTAAAATTAGTTTCAGGCCTTTGGCTAATTAAAATTATTGCCTTAAACTTAACTTAGAGGGGTAAATATGAAAGCCTGGGGAGGGGGTAAAGCAGAAATGCAAATACTGAGCACTGTGGAGATTTTTTCCTTCTGGTTACTGGGAATTTGCACGAGACTCCTTCCCACTGCAGGCTGTGGGTGATCCGGCCCATATCACAGTTCTAATTCTGACAGAATCTGCAGGTCAGCATGGCTGCCCTCAGAAGTACATGTCTCTGTGGTGACATTCTGCCACAACGTGTGTCTTGTGAGCAGCAGCACCCCTGCAGGCACTGTGTACAGATTTACCCAGAGCGTTACGTGTCCTGGGCACCCAACCAATACCTGCTCCCCAGACGTATGAAGGCATCTCTGGCCTGGCCACCTACACTGGTGGGATCCCACTAGTCCGTGTAATACCAATGGAAGTCAGCAAAAATTAGGCACTTGACACTATCCAAATGGGCACTGGGCGTCAGCTGCATCTTCTGATATATGTCTGACACTTGGTATCTGTACAGACAAGGGCAGTTAAGGCACAGACCACACATGAGAGCACGTTTGTGCTGTGTGTGCTACAAGGACTCTGCAAAGAGGAGGGGAGGAATCCGGATGTGCACTCAAGGAAACGATCTAAAAAAAATGGAATCACTACTGGTTAGTAATATATAGAGATATTTAATTATTGATATTTTTATTGTATTTTAAAAACTATTTTTCAAACTAAGGTGGGAGTTGGTCATCAAAGGTGCTGCAGGCTCATGGACTACCTAAACTTTGAACAAGTTTCAGTGTTTCCTTCCTATTCCCTTTATTTCTCAAGGAAAGTCCAATGAAGTATCTGGAATACCTGGAAGAGAGAAAGTAAATGCCAAAGCTCAAGCAGAGTGCAAGCATGCAGGAGGTATTACTGACCACTAAACAGAAAGTTCACAGTTAAATATTCCCTTTCTTATAAAGCTCTCAGTTATTTTATAAAGCTCTCAGTTATTCTCCAGAAATTAAAATACTTTTTTGTTGCTGTGCAATAAACTGAACTCCATGGCATTAACAACGTCATACCGCAACCACCTCTGAGGAGTGAGCACGTTAGGAGCATCTGTGCTACCACTTACACACAGAAAAGACAATGCCATGTTGTCAAATCTTTCCTGACGAATATTCACTGTCTCCTCAGTGTAGCTGACTGCAAGCTACATACCATTTTATAGTGTTTTACTGTATTATATAGCAAAAATCTGAATAAATCTGTGTGCAATAAATGTATTCTTTTATTAGGTTTATCCCTTAATCAAATATTCATTTATGTGGGCTTCATTCTAATAAAAAATGAAATTATACAAAGGTGAGCAAAAGCGTAGATTTACAGTAGTTTAAAGCCTAATTTCATTCTCTAGGGGTAATATTGACAATATAAAAACTGTATAAATGATATTCCCTAACACTAAATATGCTTATGAGCCCCCTGTGCATGTTATATTGCTTTACAGCCTACAGTGAAATGCATGACTGGCTTAATAAGCAAGACATTTAGAAAGGATTGTTTTTCCCCTTCACAACGTACAAGACAAGTAAAGAAGTAAAGATCTCAGTTTCTCAGTGAGCCAGAGCCTTTGTTAGTAATTGTAATTTTCCCTCAGGATGGTGTTGTCTTTCCTGAGCTGTTAGTCCAGGGACCAGCCTCCATCTCCTGCACACTCTTCTAGCAACAATATCATTGCTCTTCTCTGTCTTTCAAGGTTTAATGTGTGTATAAAGGACAAATCCAAAAGCAAGAACTATCATCTGCTTATTATTCACTTTTTCTTTTTTTTTTCAGCCTCTCCAGCACCCCTGAACTTCCTGACTCCTTTGTGAGCCTTTGTCTGTAACACCTTTCAGTCAGTAACGGAGCTGTATTTCCACAGAACTACTTTAAACCAGGATCTGTACGTGTACCCTTACAGCCTGCAGCAGCGCTGTGCCTGGTAACGCTGCTGTGCAAATCCCTCCTGCATGGGGAGCACCGTGGCACAGCCAGCAGCTGTCATCAACCGACGTGGCTATGGCTGGGGACTGTGCAAGTAACTTGGGAGGGGAAAGTCACTGGAGAAAGGAAATTTGGGATCTGCTACATAGTGAGGAAACAAAGATAAATCTGTTTTATCAGTAAATTATTCATGCAATTCAAAAAATGAACCCCAGCACTCTGTGTTGCAGAGATCATGGGCAGCAGAGATGAAATAAAATGAACCTTTGCCCATTCAGAGGAAAGAGCTGGGGGAGCTGCTAACATAGTAGTTTGGTGGAGCTCAGAGGGGGTTGTTTCTGCAGACTCAAGAGCACCAGACCTGCACTCTCGGAGGCTTCGCACAGCTCCTACTTGAGGGGTTGAATCACAGAGTCTCACAAGATACCACAGGTGTCCTGGGCAGCAGCTGATCTCTGTCCTTCCTAAGCTATACAGAGTCAGCATTTCAGTTAGACCAGAGCCATGCCAAGCTCAGGATGCAGCAGCACATGCAAAATCGATGCCATAACAATAAATCTGACTTATAAAGCTGGGGCTAATTAGTCTGAACCAGTCTCTCTCCCCACCAGTTCCCTTCTCCTGTGGCTGACATCCCTCAAAACTCCTTTTTCCCTTCACCTCTTGGTGGGGACTGCTGGCTGGTCCGGAAGGAGGCTGCACCCAGGCCCCTCTGTGGGGTTAAGGACCACAGCGATTCCAACAAACACAGCTATGGATACCTTCACTTCTGTGGGGAAAAAAAAAAAAGACCTGGCTTGCAGCGGTTCCTGTGGTTTTGGGCTTGTCCCTCAGCAGAATGGCAACAGTGAGTAGAACTGACTTCTTTGCTATTAGTTGTGTGCAGTGCAACTTTTCCCGTCCTTTACCTGTTTTCCAAACTGAGCAGTGAAAGAGAAAAAAAACCACCCCATGAGCAGGGCCGTTTCCTCTAGACTCACAGAAGCCTGTGAACAGTGACTGCTGCTTCTGTACTAAGTAAGTTTGGTTTGCTGTCTTTTAATCCATCGCTCTTTCCTATTGCCTCTCTTCCACCTCTGCAGTCCCTGATGCCTAGTGCTGGCTGTGCTGCCTCCCCCTCCTCTCACAGCAGGCTGGGCTGTGGCACTGGGCCCTTCAGAGCAACATACTGCCTCTGGGGGTCCTTCCCTTCTTTTCTTGTGTTTAGGACTACTGAGTCACTTCTGTCAAGTACTTCCGCATCTGTGTTAACAGACCTGAAATCTTGTGCAGAAATCAGGATTTCTAATAAGTAACAACAGCCAAGGACAAGAATATGTTCACTGAATACAAACTATGCAGATGCTGGAATGCCACTGTCTGTGTGAACAGACAGGGTGCTAACATAGTGGTTCCTGCTTAGGAAATACTCAAGCCTACTGACTCTGAATTATTGAATAAATGATTTAGCCCTTTGTAAGAATAGAAAGGTATGGACTTCACACTCAGTGGTCTCCTGGAGAAACCTTTACACACCTTTTGTTTCCAGTAAATTATAAAATCTCAGCTTCCTCCCCTGTGTATGGGCTTACAAGAGAGGGAGAGAGTCAGAAAAACACTGTGTGCCAAAAGCAGAACTAACACTGTGACCAACATCAGCGATACTCTTGGTTTTAAAGCATTATGTTTAAACGTTTCACATTTGCATCACCAGCAGGTGAGCCATGCAGTCAGCGCAGATATCTCACAATGAGTTGTAGAGGACCCTTTTAGCGGTGAGCAGCTAACACAAGGGCTTTCAGCAGTGCATGGCCAGTGTGCGCGTGGATACACCGTCTGGTAATGGCACACAAACTTCAAAGGAGGTTTTCTAGAAACACTGCAATATAAGACAGTACAGAAACTAGTAGAGATTTTGTAATTCAGAGCAGGATGGGAGGAAGAAGGCCTAAAATCCAAGCAAAAGAGACAGCAAAGAATGCACTTGCTTTCAAGGAAAATTCCACGACTGGTTAGTTTAATCTCAGAGAGTTCTAATCACAGTGCTCTGGTCTTTTCTTACGTCAAATTCTAAGTGCCTGAACAGTTTTTTCAGTGAAAGCAAGACCAAGACAATAGCAACTGTAATTTCCAAGCTTGCTGAATCTGTCTCTTACAATTCTAGAGTTCTCTGAAATTCAGTAGTGTGGTTGGTTTCAGTGGATTGCAGAATTTGGAGGTATCATTTGATACAGTAACAAAGTTGTTAAACCTCTTAAAAAAACACTACCCTTCTCTCTTCTGTCCGCCTTTCCCCTTTTTACCACAGGCTCTATTTGAAAACTGACAGGTTATACCGTAATATTGAAAAAGTATAGCCCAGTTTTCTAAATAATAGAACCCCAAATATGTTGCAAACTGCAGCAGTCCCTCATCTTTGGCAAACAGAGGAAAATAACGAGTTATTCATGGTTACTGAGAGTTTTTGTGCTAAATCTCTGCCAGGTTATTTCACAAACAAAAGCAGCAGCAGCCGCCCTGGGTCCCCCTCTTGTTGCAGGTTCAGTGAACCACGTTTCCTTTGAACCGCATTTTCACCCCCGGAAGGTCAGTCTGCTTGTGCTGCTGCCTCCTCCTTGAAATCTGGAGTTTTTGTAAATCATCATCATCAACTATTATGGTAACATCTATTTTTTAGAAATTTAAGCTAACATTGCTTTGCTGATTGTTCCAATATCCCCTAACAATGAAATATAGTAATACAAAAGTTAACTAAGGTATAAACATGCAAAAGGAGAAGTCTCCCTGCGATCATAAAATGATGTTATTTTCTGTTCAGCAGTTCATGTTACTGCTGTTCATGCTAATTAATTAAAGGAGCTGTTGCTGTAATGTGCAAACAGGGAATCTGAGAAACTGAGAGGGCTTTTAGGTCTCGGAGTGAAGTTAAGTCAATCTGGGCGCGGGCAATCAAATGTAATGAAATCACTTGTCAGTGCTAAGCTTGCAAAAACTGTGAAGTTTGACTAGGGAGTAAAAGGATTATAATTAGATTTCCAATAGGATAATAACTAAATGGCAGAAAGCAGTAAAGAGAAAATATTACTTTGTTAGCTAATGGTGCTGCTGTTCAGTTTTAGTTTTTATCAGCACACTTGTAGTTGTGCTAATTTAATTTGCTTTTATCAGCAAAAATGCACTACTCAAATGGTACTTGAATGTCATTTGCAAAAATCATCGATCTGAAGGTGCACTTAATGACACCCAGTATGTTTATTTTATGTGAAACAGAGATTGGCTGATAAAATGGTTGATGCACTATCTTGCTGGCCCACAAGTGAGTGATGGAGGTAGCACCAGGAGGGTATTGGTGTGCGTGCATCACCCTCCTGCACCACTCAGCTACGCAGGGGGCTCTATAACCACAGCAACTATTAATTTCCTATTTTGTCAGCTAAAAGCTTCTATCAGCTCAAGCTCTGCTGGACTAAAAGCTCAGGTATACAGAGGATGCAGGTATTAGACTGTGAAGTTCAGAAACTTTTTAAGTCTCATCTACACAGAATTTCTGTTCAATTAATATACAAAGAAGAGAGAAAATGAGTCAACTAAATGGAAGAGATTTATAATGCAGATCAGAATCCTAGTACATGAACAGCTTGTGTTAATAAAATCATTTTAAGAAATGAGCATAAAATATGATACGACTTAATCACTGTGAAAGGTGGCTGTGCAGCATTTTTGTAATTTTCCTTTAAACCATCTTAAGGAGATACTGGCAGTGAAACTAATTGAATTTCAAAGGAAAGGCACTGTGTGAATGATAGATTTCTGTCCAGCAGAGCTATTGACAACAGAAAAAGAAAGGTCTGCATTGATGCTAAAGCTTTTTTCTGTGCAACAGAGATAGATTTTGGAAGCTTGGAAACAGCTTTGTATGAGGGACATGTGTTTTGACCCTTCCTCCTCAAAGGGCCCAAAAAACAAAGGCAGCAAATGAAGGAGGCAAGGAGGGAGTGTGCTCAAATTGTTAACGACAGTAGTGAAATAGTAGCAGTCAAGTACAAAAACTATAATCAAAGGAAAAGAGTAAGAAGATACTACAGTATCAGCACAAATAAAAATGAAAGGGGTGGTGCTACAGGACAGAAACACTTTGAAATCTAAACAAGCTCTACGGAAAGCTCTTCACAAGTCTTTTTATCAGCGGAGAGTGCTCTGTGGAAAACAGGCTAAACTCATCACACATTTGCATGTGAACAAGATTACCACAGCAAAACTCTCACTGAAGTCAGCATACGCTGTCCTTCATCGTGGTGATGAAGCCAAGAGGTGCTTTGCCACTGAAGAGCACAGGGCAGGTTTACAGCTCCTACAGCATAAGTCACATTCTGCTTTTGTAGCAGGCACCAGGCCCAGAGATACTGAGCTCAGTGGAGAGCCACTTCTCCCTTTGTTCAGGCTTTTAATCTGGACAAGAACTGCATTATCCAAAGCCTGTTAAAACTGAAGAATGATGTAGCTGGGACAAGATTAAAAAAACCACAGACCAACCCAAACCTGAAATAAAAATCATAAAATCACAAGGTTTTCTGTTATATCAATAGACTACAGAAATATAAGAAAGTTTTCTTAATTCATTCTAGTAAGTAAATGGTTGTCAGAAGCGGCCATACATCACTTTCCACAGTTTTTTATGATCATTTTTGATGGGATTTGAGCCAACTGTAACTTTTTTCCTCCAACTGAAAATTGAAATTTTTTTACTAGATTCTGTCTAGAGGCACCTTTGACTCTTGGGATCTTTTTGGAAGAGCACTGAGCACTCCTCCCAGCAGGTATCATTAACAGATAGAAATGTTACAAATATTTTGCTTGTCAAATTTAAATACATGTGTCAGTGCTTATCCAATATTTTGACTATTTCTGGCAGTAACACTTTTCCAATTGCAATATTTAGAGCACAGCTCTAATCATATGTGTACACATATATACACACATATGTTGTATGTATATATATGCACTACAATAAAGCTGTGATTCTCCTTCTTTGAAATACATAGCATATGAACCTAAAATCACAAAAAGAGACAGCAGTAAAAATATTTGAAAGCTTTCCCGTATAGATGACAGATGGATGACAGATGCATAGCAGAGGTATGCAAAGTCGAGCCTTTAACAGTTGAGAAATGCTGTAAATTAGGTTCGTATCTCTAACTGCATTGCAGTCCTCCCCACACTTAAGGGGACTGTCTCTAGTTCCTTTGACACACATCGTTTTTGCACATTCCCATTACCTGGGGTGTAGAAGGGCTCTGGGAACCAGCTGTGGAACAGCACTGAAATGGGCAGCAGTTTCCAGGCTGCTGGAATAGCTGGTGCAGAACTGAATGGTGTGTCATGAATACAGCACAGAATTGAAGGCAGAAGGTTGGTTTTATAGAAAACCAACACTATGAAACTGGGTTTTTGCCGAAGTCAGAGAATTTCTCTGTTCAAATGACACCATATTTTATCAGAGGTGACTATGGATTTTCTGCCTGTCTCAAACAGCCTTCCAATGGCAATGGAAATAACCCTGAAGATCTCTGTATCTCCCTCCCTTAAGTGATGATCACACAGCTCCCTCACTTCACAAGCCTACAGCCAGAATGCACTTACTGTTCCTTGGGAAGCACTCAAACAATACAAACTGTATTTACAGTCACTGAACAGCGAGGGAAATGGAGCACTGTGTAATTGCTCCTAATGTGAAGATGACTTTCCTTCTCCTCCTACAGGTTATGCAGTTTTTGAAAACACCTGTGATCTTTGTAGGCTGGTACGGATCAGAAGTAAAATATTAAAAAGGTATTAAAAAAAAACATGTAAAACCAGTTTTGAACTTAGTGCACGTATCTGATAGCTAAATACAGCTTTCCAACATCTCTGTTTAAACAAAATTACTTTCTGATCTCGATCTTCCTAAGTTTTTCTGTACTGAAAAGGAAGACAAAATTAAATTGTGTAATCTACATTTATCTTAAAGCAGGAAAATGGAGACAAAAGCTGTTCTGCATTTTGTTACATTTTTAATTTGGCTCGTGGTAAATAAGTAAGTGATGGGATGTGGTACATACTGCACCTTGCATCGCTGCACTGTCATGTTGGGTTCCGTTGTGTTCTATTTCCATATCTGGGATTCCAGCATCTGAAAGACATGACACTGAAGATTAATGCATTCCCCTTTGCCCTCCTCTCATGCATCTTTAGAAAAATATTTATAGCAAACTAGGGTGATCTCCAAGTTACACGGTCTTGCATAAAACATTTGGTCTTCATAGAATTTTCAGTAGTAAATCGTTCCCAAAATGTGCAAACATTACTGGTCTCACAGTGAATTATTTTTAACGTGCTTCACATTTGTCTGATGATCAGATAATAACCAACACGTGATCTTAATATGTCTGTAAAATTTGCTTGGAGAATGAGGGCATCTGACAGATGAAAAATAAAACTTCAAATTGAACTGGGGTGACATTAAACTACATTGACTCTCCTAGCAATGTACCTGCAATGTACAGATTTAGAGTATAGCCAGTGCCAGTCAACACGTTTGCGTGTGCACATGTGCGTATCACTTTGTACAGAACAGGACTGTGCAAACTGCATTTAAAAGACTCACCTCAGGATGCTGTAAGCAAGCATTATCACCCAAAGCAAAACTACATATGTGATACTATGTGAAGTATTTCCAGATTTCTGAGAAGAGCTTTCCAAAATGGACTGTGGCTTTTTTTCCAAGTTGAGAAGGAGTCTCATGATGATACACACTTTTGGACTATTTAATTTCATACTGGTAATACCTCTATACGCACTATCTTCCAGGCTGGGGGTGGGGGCTCAAACACCCTAGGGTGTTATGGTAACAGATGCCATTATCCACCTTGTGCCAGCAACGATTAGCATGAAGGGTATGTGATTTGAATCCATGACACCTCAAATCCTGGAGAAACTTCTGCTTCCCGTATCATATGGCCCTTAGAATTATAGCAAGAAAAATCCCACACCTGAAAGGGAGCTGCCTGTACAGTTCTGAAGTTTTTCTGTGTAGAAGCCTGTTCTGGACTTTCTCCAGTAGAGGATAACTGTACTATTGCTTTCTCAGATCCCCGCAGTTGGAATGTCAATATTCATCACAAAGATGATATTTTGCTGGTCACCCTACAGCCTCACTGGACTCTATGCCAAAGCAGGGCAACCCATTAAAAGCATAGTCCATGCACAGAAGAGTAATATGAGTTTATAATTTAGTCATATGTAATGTGTAAACGAAATATATGTGATGTATGCACATACAGCCCTACAAATACATATGACCAAATAAATAATATTTTGATGTATATGATTTTTTCTTATAAAATTGACTGCTATTAGATAGGTCTTTCCTTATCCAGATTCCTGTTTGTTTTGAAGGGAAGTTCAGGGCACTGATCTATTAATCCAAAAAGGTTCTTTCTTTTCAAACGTTTTAGAGTACATGTTGTATATACGAAAATTTACAAAGTCATCTGTAACTAGTAACAGCATCTGTTAAATGAGACAGACTGTCAGACTTAAATTAAAAATATTCAGAATAGCCCTTCACATTTTGTTGTCATAAAATTGTACCTGCAATTAAATTGTGGATTAAGATGCTAATGAGCTACCTGATTTGCATGTGCAATCAGATTAGCATGTAAATATCATCTTCTTGCAGGCACTAACATATATATGACTACCTGAGTGTGCCTGCAAATCAAACCACTAGCAGCCAGGCCCACAATAGCAGATGTAAAGATCTGTTAATCACATTGCTGGCATGTTGGTACCCCTTAATTTGTGGCTCCCAGAACTGTTGAGTACTCCTAACTGTTGTGCAAGCAGAACGTGCTTACCAGCAATGGCAGAGTCTGGGTGAATGACCTTACAGAACATCAGGATTTAGGTTTGGTTTTTTCTGACATCCATCTTGTGGTGATGGCTGTGTCTGGGGGATGCAACCTGGGCATTTTCCTGACCCAGGGGAGGCAGTGGAAAAGGTTTCTGCTGGCTCTGTCCATCCATTCTCCCTTGGGTCAATGTCCCTGACCACGGTGCAACAGTAAGCTGTACATCCATGCTGGAATCACCACTGCTTCCCCTCTGTACATCAGAAAAGCCAGCCAGCTCCTGGTTATAGTGATATGCTGGACTATAAAACCCAGCAGATGAGAATGCCTCTGAAAGCTGCTGCTCTTGTACTTAAAGAGTTTACATCTCTTAGGTGCTCTAGATAAATCACAACTTGCAGTCCATTGTGGAGTGTTGTGATGGCAGTTCATGTAAACAGGCTGGCTGTAACTTTAAAAAACAGTCTGGGTAGCCCTCACAACTGAGAACTCAAGACAAGTTAAACTCATTATTTTTACTCAGCAGTTCAGGCAGATTTTGCAGTCTGCTTATGTTACCAAGGCTCAGTTACTGGCAGTGCCCACAGTAGGCAGCACAAAGTTAACGTAAAGGCTACACCAGATACAAATTGAACGTAACCCTGATTCATGAGCCTCTGCAGAGGCTTCCACATAGGGATGCACAGCCTAAACCTTAGCTACAGAACCTGAAATTAACTAAACCTCAACTATGTTCATCTTAAATAGTCAAGCCAAAGCTCTAAACTTTGGCCAGAACCATCTTAAGCAAGAGAGGCAATTCCTCCCACTACCCAAAACATGATCACTGTTTAGGAGGTGAACTGATTTGGTTTTGTTTCACAAGAGTATTTGGGAAGTATTCAAAACCTAGTCAGCTCTGAAAGCTGATACATATTTAACAAACTTAATAGGTCCTGAGGCTGAGCAAAGTTCAGCCAAATGGCTTTTAAAATGAAGCTCAGCAGTTCTAAAAATGAATCTGCTGGGAGAGAAGAGTTCAGAGAACCTTATAGGAACCAAATTTCACATTGTCTTAGCTGGCACTGTAACAGATTTCTCTGGTAATGTATTCAGCATTTCTTGTCAGGTCTGTGTAAACTGCTCTGTCTGTTTCTCTAGTTACAGACTTACTTATTTTTTTAATTCATGACCCGGAGCACATGGCCTGAAATAGATTTTTCATTATTTCAGAAAAGGATTGTAGGTTTTTATTCTACAATTTCCTTTGCGCATCATTTTATTTTTTTTTTTCAATTGAACATCATTCTAAGCTAACTGTGAAAGGCCAACTAAGACATTACCATTTAACATCCTGAGACCGTCACCTGATGTGGCCTGTTTTAGTGCCTGTTCCACTTGTTCTCTTCTCTTTGATTCAAATTCCAAGGCTTCCTGCAATTTTCTCTTTGCCTTCTTTTCTTTCTTCAAGCGTTTCTGAATTGTTGCTGAAACGTAAATATATTGTAAGAATGGCTGTTAAAGCACAATTAATACATAATGGAGACAGTAAATGAGTTTATGTTCATGGCCCCAGTTCTAGCTTGAGAAAACCCCAAAATCTGGCATGAATCTGATATTAAAAAACCCCAAACCAAACCAACAAATACCAACCAACCAAAAACAAAACCACAAAACCCCCAAGTCATATCCTGTAGTGAAACAATCTGAAGGGGCTTCAGATCTGCTTAAAAATCTTAAATCTTGTTGTCACTTTGGAACAGCCTCACAGATTTCAGTCTTCAGACCAGAACCTCAGCATCTTGGAGCCAGGCTGGCAGCTCATGTTTGACTTCACCAATTTGGACTCAATTCCAGGTTGAGCAGATCATTGGCTTAAACTAATTTCCAGGAACAGCAGCAATGTATATCCTCAAAATTAAATAAAATCTCTCACCCTTCATTCTAACCTTTTGCTTTAATGTTGAGATTTATAATGCACCCTCCTCCTCCAGTAGTTTTATTCAGAAAGATAATCCAAGCACACTGGTTATGCCGTCACTGACCACTCCTCATGGATAGAGGAAGTCTTCTGAATGTTCAGAGTTTAAACTAAACTTTTTTTTTGTTTTCTAATATTAAATGGAAAATAAATGTACTTCTGCAGGCAAACTGTCTGTATGCAGTATTGGAGAATCTGAAATGTCAGTACCAATAGGGCACACAGAGACATCTCATGGAATGAGGTCCTTTTTTTTGGTGAAAATGGAGGAGGAGTTGGGTTAATTTTGAAAGAAAATAACTGAAATACCAAGAACCACTGCCCAAGATGGAAGTCAGGTGTAAGGCTATTGAGAAGCTGACGGTACATAACTCAGATAAAAGATCAAATGTGTAGAGAAGGGGTATGTACTGAGTAACATAAGTACTTAAGCACTTCACTAGTACTAGGAGGAAAAAAGATGGAAAGCCAAAGGAGATGAACAAAAAAAGCATTGGGTTTTTGGTCCTAATGTTGAGAATCTCAGAGAGAAATTAAGAGGGAACTTCCCAGGTAGACGGCAGACCGAAAACAAGCCTGTAACATTGGTAAGTAAATGAAGTGTTATTATCTTCATCAGCAATTTCTCATTTTAAATAAAGCACTCCGTAAACCCCTGAATAGTAGCTGGCTGTTTGGACTTAACACAGGTGCCGATGCAGTAACTCCTGTACAGCAGTAGACCACAATGCACTTTGCAGTCGTATCTTCTCTCTTTTACAGATGGAAAGCAGAAACAGTATCTTGACAAAACTCAGACACAGGCCGTTGGTTCACCTATATAAGAACTGGCAGGAAACAGAAGTATTCCTGACTAATCTCAGTTTTAAACCCAACTATAAATACAGTTAAAACTATAACTAGAGAATCGCACAGTATTAATTGTAGGCATGTGATCAATATCTTCATCGTGAACTGCTGACATTGGCTATTGTATTGCCTCATCTATATAAATTTGAGCAATAAAATGCACCTTTTAAGCTTCTACCTTTTCAAACCCTGAATCTTAATCCTGTATTTAAACTTATTTCTCATCAGCAACAGGTCACCATTACTTGGGCCAGAACTGCATCTCAAATATATACCTCTGCCAACCACAACCTTTCCTGTGCTCCTTCCTGTCCTTATTACCCCTATTAAACTATCTTTAATGGGCTCTTACACTTGTTTTTTCACCAGTGCTGCAAGAACACTATCCTCTGTCTCTTCGTTGTATGACCTCTCTTTCCTGGTTTAAACTGCTTGGTAGAATCTCCACAGGCCCATCTCCACACTTCTGCTGGAGCCAGGAAATACTCCCCTCCTGGATACAGCTTTTGTTTCAGGAAACCTGCACTCAGCTGACACACCTGGTTGGCATAAGGAAGATTAGCTGGACCAGAGGCTGATGCCCATGTACCATCTCAGAACCATCTGGAGAACAATGTTAGCAAGCCCTGGAAGGGGTCAAAGACAACTCCCATAGCACACCCCAGCTCATATAAATGTGCGACCTTCCTACAACCCATCTCAGCTCATGCAGAGGGTTGGAGAATGCCTCTGCATTGTGCTGCTTTGATTCACATGCGTTGTCAAATCCTCACAGCCATACTTAACCCCATGGATTCATTATGGAATCAAACAAATGGAGAAACGATGGCACTAGAAAAGGTAACTAAAATTAACAGACCAAAAAGAATCTAAGCTTAAATATAAATGGTCTTTTAAAACTACCACCCATTTGAGTCAAGTTTGCTAGTGCACACACTGTGGCGAACACTGCTCACAAGTATTGTTAAAATGAAAGTTGAATTTATACAAGCAGTATTTTGCAACCCCTTTTATTGATATGCTTCTCCTGTATATTAGATATCTGAGAATTTCAAACCACAAAACATCATTAGAAAATTGACTTAAACATCTGTAAAAATTCTGGGGAAATCCACAGTATTTACATAAATTTTGGTGACTTCTGTGATTTTTTTATTCATCCGAATTCTTATTGACTTGTAAAAATCGTTCTCAATTTGGGAATGCTCCAGTTGGGGGGGAGAGGGAGGGAGGGTGGAGAAAAAGTCAAAAAAAAAGGGATACCATTACATGGGAAATCTCTGGGAGACTTAATAAATGATGAATTTCAAAATGTGATCTGTACAACATAACTGGAAAACTGAGCATCTTGCATGTAGCCTATCTTTGACTTTCCATAGTAATACAGAAGTGCGTGTGGTGATGACCTGAAAAACAAACAGTGCTAAGGATATCGATTATTGGTGAAATCGTCTTTTGAGCCAGAAGCCAACAGAGTCTGTGAATAGCTTATGGCTTTTGTTGATTTAAATGTGACTCAGGAGGTGCACAGTGTGCTGTCTGCCTACAGGGAGGTGAGTTTTGTTTTAAAGAAATACAGCAGTCTCATCCACACTCAGTTGGGGTGACGCAACATTTCTGTACACCCACTTCCAATTTAGCAACTTCAGTAGTATTTACTGACCCTTCACAACCTGACCCAGAAGTGCCCTTCTTTGTGGCCTCTTACCAAGCCCTGGCACTGCAGACAGCTCTACTCTCCATGTCTAATTCCAATTCAAACTGCACAAGAAGGTAGTACTTGCACCTACCTTTCTGGTCTTACCTAGTTCTGTCTTTCTGATTTCATGGGTGTAATCTAGAAGTAGCTTTTAGCACATGAAGAACTCTTCCTCTCTTTCAGATGCAGATTTGAATTTTAAAAAGAACACTCTCTTTGTTGCAATATCACAGCGAAAGATTCAGATTTACCAATTTAATTGCCTGTTATTATCAAAAGCTTCTAAACAGTCATGGTTTTGTTTTAGAAGTCCCCATAGGGAGAGTGCTATTGTACCACACTTTCCTAATGGAAAAAAAAAGTACCCAGGGCTACTTGCTTCAGCTCTTGTACTTGGGCAGGCAATTTCTTGCAGTTCTATTTTGTTGCACTAAAGTTATCCATAGGACAAACTAGCTGACTAGCAGCTAAACTGCAGGAATGGGGGCTAGGTAAGTAGTAAGGTAATGAAAAAAAAAATCACCTACATACCCAAATTGCAGACATAACTCTCTTTCGCACAGTAAGACTGATTTTCAGTGCTTGGAGGATAATAGCAGAAAACAAAAGAAATTAAAGCTGTCAGATGAAGAAATCGGGCTGGGAATACATAGGCAGAGGGGTAATAATGCATCTGAAAGCCACGAAGCCGAATCAGCTTTCCTGAACAGAACCTGCCAAAACTCTCTGTGGCCAGTTGCCCTCCAGGAAATAATCCTTCAGCCACTATTCCGTCTGCTTACAGAAAAGTGTGCTTCATTCTGTTTTTATTAAATTTAAATCTTTCATTAGCAGTGCTAGTCCACTGCTGCCTTACACTGAAGTATGAATGTCAGTTAACTCCGAGTCCTCATAGCTCCAGCTGGAAATGCCAAAGGGTTATACATTTAATAGATATCTAAACTCAATTTTTCATTCACTCACCTCTGCTTTGCAGCTCAGCTGTGAGTTGCCTTTCCAAGCTCTCTCTTAATTCTCTCTCTCTACAAAGCTCCATCTTTAACTCTTTCTTTTCCTGCTGTATCTGCTTTTCCTGGACTCTTGCATTGTCCACAGCCACTTTCAGTAGGCCCTAAAACACACACAAATGTAAGACCTGAAAACACCATTTTGTTTCAGCACTGACAACATTTGTCCATTTGTTTCTTTTACACCCTCTAGGAAAACAGAAAAATTAAATGCAGAAACCTGTAGACCCGGAACCCAACTGGGCATTTGAAGTAGCTAAATATTATAAATGAGCAATTTTGTGGTGTGGAATCATTCAGTATAGCTTTTGCCAAGTCATCCTACCAATGTGGTTTATTACAAACTTAGTGCCACATCATTGCTGACCTCAGTCAACTGCAAGGAGAAGCAAAGGAGGAATAATGAGACTGGTGCATTTTAATATGACCATTATTACCAACTATTAAGTCAAAAAGACAATGTATGAAACCCTTTCACGATCAATAATGCCAGATAGTAGAAACCGACGCATTACATTAAACAGAAGAACTTAGAATTGAAGATACAAAATAAGTTTCTGAAACTTTAAAAAAGAGACTAAAACCGAAACACATTTTATCTATCATGACATAGCCTAGCCCTGTAGAGAATAATTTACCTGAATGTTGGTTAATAGTGTTTCTACTGATGAAAGACCATCAGCAAAAAGAAATGGCGCCGGAAATCCAGGAGGCAAGGCCTGTCCAGCCAGTTGGACTTTATCTAAGGTTGGTTTCATTATTGGAATGGCAATTTGGACCTCTTCTGTAAAGACAGGTTTAAAAGCAACATCAGAAAGCATTAGAAATATAGGTAAATGCTAAAAACTAGCATTCCATTTACCTGGAAGTCAAAATACAAGTGCATTAGTACAACTGACATTGTTTCCATTCTTGGGCAGCTGTGCTTGTTGCTAAGGTAAGATTGCAAAATAGTACAGAACAATAATAACTATAGTGACTGGTACAACACAGCTGTAATAGTCTACTATATCTCAAATTCTACAAATTATACTACAGAATTACAACAGTGTTACACAGTTCATTAAGCCTGAATGACCTTTCTTCATTCTGTCATGTTTGCCATTCTGTGATGCGCATTTTTTTGTTGCTATAACCTTGACAAAATTCTAATCAAGAAGTGCATCACATCTCTTTATTCCTTTAATGTTGTCCTTCCCATAGGCAGCAGTCAGTAATCACCACTGAGTCATTTCCTCCTGCTTAGCTAGCACCAGCTTCACGTTGTCAGTGAAGCGTCAGTGCAGGTTCTCTTGACAAGTAGGGTGCTGCTGTCAGCCTCTCCCGTCATATGCAGTAGCCAGGGTGCTTTGCTGAGTTTCTGTAGCAGAGGTATTGAGAGAGCTGGGTGGGGTGGGGAGGCCACAAAGCAGCCAGGAAGGAGAGGGCAACCAGCACAGGGCCTTGTTCCTGCGGCTTGCTGCACGGACCTAGATTCATGCGTTTCTTCCAAACTGCAGAATGGGGACCTGCTGGCTTCCCCTTTACTTGCAGTTTCAAACCAATCATGTTGCTATAGAGCAAGCCGCGCACACACAGTACAAGTATGTATTCATAATGAAGCAGCAGTATTAGTAAATATTTTTCAAAAAATCCTTTAAATTTTGTAAGGAATCAGTACTATCACCAAGGAAGTCACATTTCTGAACAGGATAGGACAGTAAAGAATCTCCTCCTCTCGGATCCCTAATGAGCGTGTTTTCCCCATGTATTCATTTAAAGCTGAAAACCACAAAACTAAAATCTAACAGTCTTTAAAGCCAAACTCTACATTTGTTTTACTGTGAAATGTAAAAAAAATATTCCTGTGTAATATTCCAGGGAAATCCAGTCTCTCTCTGTTATGTTCGTGCACCTGCAGAAATCATGAGGAGTATTTTCTTGGCAACTGCTTTTTAGTAAAGCCTGCAACTAATGTATTGGCTGCAAGTTCATGACTCGTGGGTTTTTTCAGGAAAACTGCACAGCCAGTCCTGATGATCGTTTCATTTGTCAAATGTCTTGGTCACATTAAAGCCAGGATTTACAATTAGACCACAGCGTATTGAAAAGGCCCCCTCCCTTACCTAAAAAAACCAAGAGTCTGACAGTGAATGGCACTGCTGTGTCCCCCCAACAATGCTTCACAAACTCCAGGAGCAGCACTTTCTGCTGTGTTTCTAAAGCATTACCTACTGACAAGGAACTAGGAGCATTCACAGGTTCAAGTATTCTTTGAAATCACCGCTTAGGGAGTATTTTGTTTTCACTATGCGAGTTCATTAAATGGAGCATCTTCATCATGATTCTTCAGGACTAATAACAACAAAAGCCAGTAACCTCTACACGTCTTTGTAGCTCTCCTTTTAGAGCTGTGTTCATGTAATTTAAATGATCCATTTAAAAGAAACAAGCTCTGGTCACATATTCAGACCACAGAGTTCATGCTGATTCAGACACACC